AAGTTCATGGAAAATAGTCTTAAAAACTGATGTGATTTTCTATGAGCTTTTGAGGGTCTCTCCCCTGTATGTTACTTTCCTATGGCTGGTCAAACAAATTAGCACAGACAGACAACTTAAACTTATTCCCTTGCCATTCCAGAAGCTAGAAGCTCGAAATTGCTCGTTCTCTCCTGGGGTTCATGAATGAGACTCAGCCTTAACAGTCTTCTAGTGGTTCTTAACAGGACTGGGCCTCGGAGTGTCTGTGTCTCTCCTCCTTCCCTTTTCCCTTTCCTATAAGAACACGTGTCATGGGATTTAGTGCCCATCCAGAGAATCCAGAATAATTTCCCCTTTATTCCGCAAGTAGTCACAGTCACAGGCTCTCAGGTAAGGATTTACACATAATGTTTGGGTGCCACCGTTCAGGCCCCTATGCCTCAACTTAGTCCTCTAGGAAAACTATGTAGGCATTAATTACATGTCTTGTCACTTCTATTATCTTACAGAAAATTCTGTCTTCTATTCCTTTTATTCTCTGCAGTTGGTTCTGAGAAAAGGGTGCCAGCAATGCCTGGATCGCCTGTGGAAGTGAAGGTTCAGTCAAGATCTTCACCTCCCACCATGCCACCCCTTCCACCAGTAAATCCTGGAGGACCGAGGCCAGTGTCATTCACGCCAACAGCATGTGAGGTCCTTTTACGACTTTTGTGGCTCAGAGTGAGCCTTCTATATACTATTTAATGTTTTCCAAAAGTTCTCCGAAAACACAAACACACATGCACAGTTGTTCCTTTGGTTTTTCATAAATTGTCTTTATCTGAGGATAGTACTTAGCTAGTTTAGGTGTTTTGAAATGTGGGCTTGAATAATCTATTTTCATCCTCCTAATATGGTAAAATATCAATTTCATTGATACTTATAAATATCAATTATTCAGATAATTAGTGACTTGTAGGATTCTATATATAGTTCGTAAAATTAGAAAACCACTAAAAATGTTGCAGCATTTTAATGGTAAAGACTATAAAAGAACATTATATTAGCCAATAAATACTAGAGGGCCACAAAAAGTTAAAGATAAAAGAATTACACTATCTTTTAATTCCATTTTTCCCCCAAAGGGTTTTTGAAGCCCCCCTCACATGGGTCAAGGTGCTTAGTCTCCATCGCTATCAAGGAAGTAGGAACAACAGCCCCGTGCAGCTGTTCACCCCTCAGAGCAAAGGAGTGGAAGAGAGGGGAGACTCTTCAGTTCCCCCAACTTCTGATCATCTGCTTTGCTCTGTACCCCACTATCCTTGTTTAGAAGTTTGTGTCTATCATTTTAAAGATAAGAAAAGATTCTCATAAGTGTAACTGGAAGAGAAGGTTTAATTATTTTCCCAAGACATTCAAAATAGAGTAACTGGTGCTGCGGGCTTCAGTTTGAGCCAGCGTGAATGAAAGGAAGCTTAAGACCCTACTTCTTACAATCAGTTTTCCTGGTTACACAGCTGTACACATATGTACTATCTTGAAATAAAACTGATTTAGTGTAACTTAGGATATCCTTCAGATTTCAGGTACAGATAATAGGTATATATATCAATGTAAGAAGGCTTTAAAAGTTTGGAGAGAGGGAAGGAATTGAGAGATAATTGGATTTTTCCACAATCTTTTGGAAGCACTCGATATGTAAATAGTTCCTTTTTTAACCTCAGTAGCCACTTGGTAGTGGATATGCTCTATTTCAAAAGATGTGACCTTGTGCTATTACTAACGAAACTGTTAAAAAAAGCCTCTGAGCATCATGATAACTAAAAGCATAGTAGTATGTTATTTTGATAGGTTTTCTTAAAAGAGGGCAGCTTTCCATTGTGTGTGTGAATACAACGAAATGGCAACTAGTTTTCTAGATTGCTTAGATTGAGTGTTGAGCTTTCCATTCCAGTAGCTTTAGTGATCTCTTACTGGAAGGCACAGAAGAAAATTCAACCTTTTGTTTCCAGCCCGTTGCTCTTTTATACAGTAACTCATTCAGGAACATTTTAAAAAACACTTAACCTTTGCTAGGTAATGAACGAAGTCAAGATAGATGTGTACCATAGTTTTGATCAAGTAGTGCATAGTCTTATTTGTTAGACAGGGTTCTCTAGAGAGATAAAACCAAATTGCTGATAATTTAATATATTTATTTATAAAGATAATTAGATATATAACAAGAAATGAACTGCTAAATCATATACAGATAAATATATAATACAAGAAAGAAACAGTTAAATTATAAAGCACTACAAATGGCTCAATTCAACTCACTCCCGTGAGAGAGTTGTGAGAGACTAGCAGTCCTTCAAGTCTAGTCTGCTGCCAGATCTTCCTCTATTTATAGAGAGAGCTAGGCTATGTCGGCACAGCAGCCAATCAGAAGGCAGGTCACCAACCGCCAGTCCCCAGCTCCAGAGATGTCTTAAAGGGACCTCAACTTACAGCAACACAGTCCACAGGCTAGACGTCCCACAGGTAGTGTAGCCTTTAAATTGAGGCACAGGACAAGCAAGGCAGCCGCACACTGGTCCGATGATCAAAGAGCGAGAGACAATAAAGACGAGGTTCACCAAGCCATTTATCTCTCTGCCCTTCAGTTAATCCCACTTGTGTTTATCGGCCAGGCTGGCACAATAAACTATCTTACTATTGTAATAAGCAGTACACATATATGAAAATAGTGGGAGCCTATTTGTTATCCATAGATACCAAAAAGAAGAGCTATCCTACGAACGCTGCTCGGGTTGACCCTAGTGCAGGCAATGCCTGTGCTGTGTAGGCAAAGAAGGATTCACCGGGTCAAACTTGAACAAAGGGCAGGCCAAGAAGAGGGAACAGTGATAGGCCGCAGACTGTGGCAGCTTTTGGGAACTCAGAGGTTTTTAATGCGTTTGTACCAGGCAAAAAAATAATCATGGTGGGTTTTTAAAAATTATTTTATTGGGGGCTCGTAAATTCTTATCACAATCCATACATCCATCCATTGTGTCAAGCACATATGTACATTCACTGCCCTCATCATTCTCAAAACATTTGCCTTCTACTCTAGCCCCTAATATCAACTGCCCATTTTCCTCCTCCCTCCCCACTCCCCCCAATAATCACTGTTTTTGAAGCTAGTTAAAGATTGGGCTCTTCAAGCTTGCCTTGAGCTTTGACTTAGGATTTTAGATATAGTTTTACATTTTTTAATTTCTAAGATGTGACATCATTAAGTGAAAAATCTATACAAAGTATTTTTATTTAAATGTCATTGAAGAAGGATATTAACACTTGATGCCATTAAAACTTAACTCTAGGGTTATAATTCAAATTAAAACTACTAAGAAAACACTGTTAAGAATAACAGGGAAATAAGAAAACTAATTTATTGCATGTAACTTGAGCAAAAATATAGAATAGAGTCTGAAAGACGCATTCTTGAGTGAAGAAGATTTTAACATCAGCCCAGCCAGCACTCTCCCAAAGTAGCTGACTCTGAAAGGCATTCTGAGTGATAAAAAAATGTATGTGCCCGTGGTTCCTGGGGTCCAGGAGGAAGGGAGATAGAGGAGGTACTGCTAAAGGAGTTGCAAAGGGAAATGGAAATTATTGCTTCAGGAATACTCATTTTCTGTTAGGAGTGGTATAAAACTTTTAGAAATTAGTGAGGATGACAGCAGCCCAACGTGTAAAAGTGATTGCTACCACTGAGCATTGTTGGCATCAGACAGTCATTGAAGTGACACATTTTTATCATAAATAAAAACTTACAAAATAAATACATGTAATCAAAGATGAATAATTATATACTTGAAGGAGATAAGAAATCTTATACTACTGTTCATTTTTTGATTACTTGATGATTTAATCAAATTATTTAGGCTTTGGAAAAATGGGCAAGAGTATTCAATCATTGGAAAAATAAAGTATCCCAGACTCATCTCAAGTAACTATTAATGGGCATCTTTCTTAAAATTCCCCACTGCTACCCATGGCACCTCTAGAGTGAGATTACCACCACCACCTCCCAGCCCCTGGTCTTGCAGCCTTCTTTACACGCTTCTCTTCTAATAGCTCTGTACTGATCTCTAGTCATTTTGTGCCTGACGGTCTCTTTATTTTACTGTTCTCACTCTAGCAGTCTGATTGAGGGGTAGAAGCCAATTCTTGCTTAATCTTTTTCAAAGGATTAGAATATTCGGTATACTGTATTTACTCATGTATAAGCCGATCCGAATGTCAGCCAAGGCACCTAATTTTACCACAAAAACTGCATTAAAAATGTGCTGAAAACAGTGTAATCTTTTAATGTGCTTTTCAGAATTTGAATGAATGCAAGAACGCAGATAAGAAATTAACAAAGTTCCTTGTGTTTAACACTTAAACTGAGTCTTCTGTTTTGACCTTTTTATAGTGAGCAATGGTATCAACCATTCTCCTCCGACCCTGAATGGTGCCCCATCACCACCCCAAAGATTCAGCAATGGCCCTGCCTCTTCCACGTCCTCGGCACTAACAAATCAGCAGTTGCCAGCCACTTGTGGCGCTCGGCAGCTGAGCAAGTTGAAGCGCTTTCTCACCACTCTGCAGCAGTTTGGCAATGACATCTCGCCCGAGATTGGGGAGAAGGTGCGGACCCTTGTTCTAGCATTGGTGGTAAGTACAGTCATACCATCCTCGGCAGCTAAGAAAGTGAACGTGTTTCTGCTCATTACCAAGCCAGTAGTGATGTGGCAAACTCTACAGGTTAGTTATTGCTTAAGTCAGCTAAATTCTTGGTTTTATGTTAACAGTATCTATCAAAGGAACAAAGTCTATAATGATTACTCTCGCTTCTTCTAGCGTTGACTTAGTCTACTAAGCTGCTTTGAATTTGCATTAAGATTAGTTTCCAGCAGGCTTTCTGTTCAGTCGAGTTAATCCAAGGTATTTAAATTTAATACTTTCACTGCTTAATGAACTTGTTTCCAAAAAGAGAAAAAGTAGTAAGTTTAATTTCCAAAATAATACTTCATAAAATTATAAGGTTTATGGCCTATTTTATTGACATAGTTGAATTCAAAATTAGGGGTAAGGGAAAAGTTAGGAGTAGAGAAACTGGAGGATGATCATTATCAGATCACCAAAATTTGACGTAACTGCTAGAATACATCATTACGTGTTTACCAACCCCCTGAGAATTATATCTCAGCTACCTAGACACATAACCTCAACCATCACAGCCAAGGTTGCTCTTTCTTTGTAGCGCTGCATTTGTAACTGCCAGGTGGACAACCATCACAGCCAAGGTTGCTCTTTCTTTGTAGCGCTGCATTTGTAACTGCCAGGTGGACATCGTTTATGCTCAAACTGGTTGGAATTTTTACTGTTGTCATAAGTGTGAAAGATAGAATAATAAAGTTGATAAGTGGTCAGTAGGGCTAATATCACAGGAATCACTCCTCAGAACCTTTTGCAAATAAAGGGTTTGGGGGGCTGTTTTTGGTGTGTATTTTTTTGCGGTTTGCTTTTCTCTTGGAGAGGTATGCAATACTGGATTATTTTAACTTGTGAACTGGGTGAAGGTTTACAGAGCAGATTTTACATTCAACAATCCATACACATTCTTTTTCATTCATTGCCGTTTTCAAGGCATATACTTTTTTTAAATGAGCATGTTGAACCTGTGGTATTGGGGGTGGTGTTCTGATATTACCAACCAGGTGGAGTTAACTGTCAGTGTTTCATGTGTGAAGGACCACCAGGTTCTTCTAGTGTTGCAAATGCGATTCTACAACTCACCTCTGTGCCCCATAGCCTCCATAAGTAGTCAAAAGATGAATCACCAGACCAGACCTTCAACTAGCTGTTCATAGTGTTACCCAGAGGCTTCTGGGATGCCTCAAGCCTCTTCAGGGGGCTGTGTGCTCCATGCGTAATAAAGTTGTAAGGTTTATGTCCTGTTTTATTGACTGTAATAAAATAATACACCATAATGTTATTTATTACACCATAATAATATTCACGTGTAAATTATCTTTATACACTTACTGCACTTACTGTGTCAAGAGTTGGGTGGACATCTGACCTACAGCTCTCCCTGATGACCTGATCTTGGGTCGCCAAATGTGTTTCGACCTGGGTCAGGGTGTGAGTCTTATCTACTCTGAGTGCTTAGGGACTGAGATGGTTAATGATTTTCCCCATTTTGTCTCTTTTTTTGTAGGCTCGCGTGAATGTAAAAAGGAATTTTCTAAGGCTTTATGTCATTGGTATTAAATACAGAAATCAATTCAGTTGTCTTCTATTAAGCTAGATATTTGAGATTTACAGAATTGTAAAACACTGCCATTCTTGTTAACTTTTTTCTTTTGGAAAAAGTTATTTTTCATAGAAATATGCTATTGTTATTTGGACTGGATTAGCAGTATTTTTCAAGCTCAGTTTTCATTTGTCATCTGGTGAATATTGACAGATTATGAATTAAACTAGCAGTGTTTTGAGATCGTGTAAGCACTGCTGCCTTAAAGGATTTCTCAGGCTCAGCTAACCATCCAAGGTAAAAAAGGGCAGCTTTTACCCAGAGACAAGGTTCAGAAGACAAAAAAGGAAAGGACAGAAGGACAAATGGAAACAGGAACTTGGGAAGTGGGGTAAACACTGGTATGTTATAAAGATTGCAGTCAGCCCTAGGAACAAAATATGAGGAATTATTGAATGGAAAATAGATTTGTTCTGTGAACTTGCACCCAATTTTTAATGAAAATTCGTAAAGGGGGGTGGGGTCTACAGAAAAACAATCTCACAGTTTTCATACAAGGAAAATGGCGGTATACCAGTTGCAGCAGTGCATCAACAGGGACCTGCCAGAAATCCAACTAGGATTCAGAAGAGGACATAGCATAAGGGACATCATTTCTGACACATCAGATGAATCTTGGCCTGAAAGCAGAGACTACCAGAAAAAACGTGTACCTGGTTTTTATTTACTATACAAAGGCAATAGACTAGGTGGATCATAACAAACTGTGGACAACATCGAGAAGAATGGGAATTCCAGAACACTTCATTGTGCTCATGCAGCACTTGCACATAAATCAAGAAGCAACTGTGCGAACAGAAGAAGGAATGCGGCACAGCTTAAAATCAGGAAAGGTGTCAGGGTTGTATCCTTTCTTCCCCATACTTACTCAGTCTGTATGCTGAGCAAATAATCAGAGAAGCTGCATTATAGGAAGACTGTGACCTCAGGACTGGAGGAAGGCTTATTAACAACCTTCGATATGCATATGATAGAATTTTGCTTGCTGATGAAGGTCAAGGACTACAGTCTTCAGTATGGAAGGAAAAAAAATCCTCACAACTGGCTTTGGCTGTTTGCTGAGCACATCACCCAAGAAGTCGGACTGTATGAGGAGGAGGAAGGCTTAATTAACAGTCTGCAATTACGCACATGGCGCAGAGTTGTTTGCTGAAAGTGAGGAGCAGTGCTGATGAAAATCATAGATCGCAGCCTTCAGTATAGAAAACCAAAATCCTCACAATTGGATCTATAGATAAGTGGGGGAAAGATAGAAAACTGCTTCCACAATTAGTGCTCGTGGAAGCAGCAGTCAAGAAATCAAACGGTGCACATAAGGCAAATGTGCCTAGGACCTCCTGAAGTGGATGGGTATCACTTTGAGGGTTAAGTTGTGCCCGACACAAGCTATGGTGTTTTCAAACAGCCCACGTCAGACACTTAGAAGCCCAACTGTCATAGTGGTTACTTATTAGGCTGCTAACCACAAGGTCAGCAGTTTAAAACCACCAGCCTCCCTGAGAAAGAACAATCACCTTTTCTACTCTTGAGTTACAATCTCGGAAATAGCCCAGAAGCATATCTTGTGGGGGTCACTGTGAGTTGTAATCTACTCAATAGCAGTGAGTTTTTTCTGAAGCAGACATGTAAAGAGAGCGATCCCCCTTCTGCAGCAAAATGCCTCAAAAAAAATACTGCAGTCACCTGCAGGCTCTGGCACTGGGGAGTCAGACCTGCAGAACCTGGAGGCCATGATGGAGGTAGTGATGCAGCAGTTCAGGTGGAAGATGTGCCAGCACCAGGGTCGTAACCAAGGCCATGCTACTGCACCTCAGCTGGCACAGCACTTCCAGCCATTTTAGTGGCAGCCAATAAGAAAGCACGTGTGCGGAATTGGGGTGCCTCACGGCCCAGGAGGACATGGATGACACTCTAGATAATGGGGCCCTTGATGTCCTAGAGCAGGGGTCCTCAAACTTTTTAAACGGGGCCAGTTCACGGTCCCTCAGACCATTGGAGGGCCATACTATAGTTTAAAAAAAAAAATGAACAAATTCCTATGGGCCCTGGACGAGTGGGCTGCTAAGCAGGACAGGCAGCGGCAACAAAAACACCCAGCAGGCCGGATAAATGTCCTCGGTGGGCCGCATGTGGCCCGGGGACCATAGTTTGAGGACCCCTGTCCTAGAAGGGTAGGCATTAGGACTCCCAAGCCTGCCACCCACCTTTGTCCCTGTCCCCAAATACTCACTTGTGTCTGGAGGGAAAGTGGCACAGACACAACCAGGGGTAGCTTCCTTATAAGACGGAGGAGGCCGTGCTCTGGGACCAGGACCTCTGTGTAGGCGTGCAGGCTGTGCACTGAATGAGCCCCACATCTGTCCATTGGGCCATATGTGTCCCTCTGACTTTCATGGTATTCACCTTGAAAGAAAGTAAAAAGAGATGAGCTTAATTCTAATCATGACCACTTATCAAACATTCAGTTTTAATGTGCAGTCATTAAAGTAAATGGTAAAAATTAAAAGGGGGGCGGGAAATAACCATGTTATTTCAGCAACGCCTCAGTGGAGATCCTAGACTTTTACCCATGAGGTGCAAACCAGACCCACCATCATTGAGCTGATGCTAAGTCGCCTCCCCTGATCCCCAGCCCTTCACACCAAGCCCAGTGGGGAGCAATGATGACACACTCTGCCCCTCCACCGGGATAAACCATGAGGTTTTTACGGGAACGTGGGTTTATGGCCCCACCTAACAGTCTCAAAAGAACATTCACCTCTGCCCGTTGTCCTCCACTGGCTCAGTGTCAGAGGACCTAAAGCAAGATTTACGTACAACTCAAAGACTTGAGACATAGAGCTCCGAGTGTTCCGAAGGCAATAGGGAATCTCTGGCCATTCCAAGAACCAGGAAAATCTCAGTGTAATGAGAAAAGGCAACCAACGTATATTTTGAAATGGCATGGTTGTGGGAAATAGCAGAGAACGATTGTAGAACAGCCACCTTAAAAATGCTTCAGTAAGCAGCTGCAAAGACCAAGCACGAATGAAGAAATACAAAGGCCCAACAAAGAACTAGAAGATGGAAATAGGAGAAGCAAATGGAACTTTTATTACTGAAAACTACAATAACAAGATTTAGGTTCAGCAACATGATGGAGAAGATGGGGCAAAGAATCAGTGAACTTAAAGTTAGAAATTGCCCAATCTTGGCTTGAAGGGATTGTGACAAAAGACCAGTAGGAGAGAAGGAAAAGGGGAGAAGTGATGACTGACTTTCTCAGATTTGGCAAAACGCCTTAAACCCAAGACTGAACAAATGTCATACATGATTACCCTGCCCCCCCCAAAAAAATTACAAAAATATATTTTTCCCCCATGGCAAGACAAGTCATATTCAAAGACAACTTACCAATTGGGACTCTGTTTGGAGTTGTTCTGATAGGCAAAAAGACCACTTTCAAGTTTTAAATTCCTATGTAGAAGAGTTGGGGAATGGGTGGTGGAAAGTAGACAGAGCCTGTAGAGCAGCGGTTCTCGACCTGTGGGTCACAACCACTTTGGGGGTCGAACACCCTTTCATAAGGGTTGCCCGATTCGTAACAGTAGCAAAATGACAGTTATGAAGGAGCAACGAAAATAATTTTATAGTTGAGGGGGTCACCACAACCTGAGGACCTGTAATAAAGGGTCGCGGCATTAGGAAGGTTGAGAACCACTGTTGTAGAGAGATTCAGTTGTGGAAGTTAAGGGACTAGGTTGGTGATCTTAGTAGATAGATATCTTTAAATTGACATTCAGGAGGGTTTCAGGATTTGTTAAATGGGAAACTTTGTAAACCTGCTGCTTGTACCTGAAGCAACTTGGAATGAATCCCTCAGTACGAGGGATCTGGTTACTTACTGCAGGGAGTCAGACATTTCTTGTCCTTTAGTCTGCACTTGCACACTGGAGACTATAGATAGATTCTAGAGAAGATAATCAAGGGGGCACATTTTTGTTATTCTGCAATGAGGAGATGATTAGATCTGTTCTTGAAATATCCTTTACCTTCTGACTTGAAAGGGCCCATTCTTTGGTCAGATTTTGTATTAGATAACAGCGTCCAGTTTGAATCATGAATTTGAATCACATTTATCTTCTCAGAACTCCACCGTGACAATTGAAGAATTCCATTGTAAGCTCCAAGAAGCTACCAACTTTCCTCTTCGTCCTTTTGTGATTCCGTTCCTCAAGGTAATTATGTGAGGCCACAGCTGAATGTGCTTGATGGGCAGCATTTCCTCAGGATCTGCTATTGATCCCTCCTCTAGTGGCAGTCAGGGTGAAGGACAGCCGTCCATATTTAGTCCACTGGGGTGGGGAAGAGAAGTGAATGGAGTCTGCTTCCCAAAGCCTCAGCCAGTCCAATCTTCTGGAGTCATTGTCCCTGCAGCACAACTGTTGGATGACATAACTTACTTGAATCAATAGTATGATATTTATGCAGAATATGCCCCCCCCTTTAATTTTGAAATAATTTGTGTTCATAAGGAAGTTGCCGGATTACAATAAAATTCCTGTGCACCCTTTATCCAGTGGCCAGATGATGTTAGCATGGTAGCACATTTGCGGTGTCCTTCTCTTTCTATATGCACTTTTACTTGGAAGCATTTGGGCTTAAGCTGCAAACTCAGCGCACCTACTTTAGTACAGTTGTCAAACCAGAAAATTAACATTGGGGCAATAGCTATTTTTTTAATCCATGGACCCCTGTCCAGTTTCACCATTTGACTCACTAATGTCCTTTGCAGCTCAGGAAACAAAGACAGCACTGATGGAGGCCCTGAAAGAGCATTGAATACCTAGGAAAGTGCACAGCTTCTCCTGGGACTCTGTTGAAACACCGTCGCAGCCACAAAGTCTTGGGACAGTCTGTGGAGCCTTTGTTAACCTTGAAATAGCTGTGCTGGTTTTTATCTTGGTCTCCTTTGTATGTGGCAGAACCTATAGGCAGTTACTTCCCCAAAGCCCAGAACCTAGGAAGATTTTTGGAATTATGTTCATCGGAGGCAATAAACCTACACATATTTCTTGATTCATCAAAGGGCACATGCCACAGATATGACATGGATTCATGCCCCCCACCCCCCTTTTAGGCTTTACACTCGCAAAAGATTGCAGTTATAGAACAGACTACATCTTTTAAAAAGTATTTTTATATAGTCAGATTCTCTATTCTTAACTCTTGTTATTTTGGAAAACAGCATGAGGTAGGTTGTTATGGCAGTTTTTTGGCTAGCATTTGGGTTTTGTCAATTTCTCATTGCCTTAAAACAGTCACTAATTATGGTGCCTGCTAAATTAACCCTTGCTGCTGAAGGGGGATGCCTTCTTTCCTGCATTAAACTATTCTCCTCCTCTTCCACTGGCTCGTTTGATTCCCTTGGGATAAAGGCTTCTAGTGTGCACAGCCTCCCCCTGAACAACGTTCACATTGGGGGAAGAGAATGCATTTGGTGGATTTAAATTTTTTTAAATGAGTATGGGAAATGTTAACTCATATTTGGAGAAGTTGAAATTCTGACGATTTAAAGATGTGTAGAATATATATGTGATTTGGCCTCTTGGGAGGTGTTTTTCTTTTCTACTACAAGGAAAGGGGCACATGTAGAGAGCCACTTGAGAAGTGGACTCTGCCCTTGGGACACCTTGTAGCTTCACAGCTGAGTCTAAAGGTTGTTGTTTTTCTTCCCATCATTCCTATTGCTGCTCCTTTTCAAAAACCCAGTTGTTGGGACCAAACCACCGTTCGTGGAATTTCATGGCAGCTCTCATAGAGTCCATGAAGGAAAGGTTTGAGCTATGTTATCATATCAGACAGAGGGTGGGGGTCAGAGGAGAGAAATCAGAGCTGGTAGGTAGCCCATAGAAGAAGAAAGAGAGAAGTGGATTCCTCCTCTTGGGGAGGCAATAATCAGTCTCAAATTCATGATAGTGAAAATTAGTTTTAAATAAAACTATGGTGATAAAGGCTTAGCCCATTCTTTCAGGGAACTTACATGTCCTGCAACCAGAGGAAGGCACTGTGGTGGTGCTGGGGTATAAGCACTGGGCGGCTAGGCTGTCTGCTCCTTTAGAGATTGACAGCCTCTTTGCAGACAAATCCTGTGTAGAATTGTTGTGAGTCGAAATCAGCTCCATGATAGTAGGGGAATAGGGCCAGGAGCAGGAGCCCTAATGGGGCAAAGGATTGCGTGGTGGTCAGACCACTGGGTCACCGTTGAAACCCACTAGCTGCATTGTAGGAGAAAGGTGAGCCTGTCTGTTCCCATAAAGACTTACGGTCAAGAACCCCTATGGAATTCCATGCTGTCCTACAGGGTCCTCTTTATGCATTAGGATTGACTTAGTCACCATGTGTCTTGCTTTATGATTGGGAGCAAAAGACAAGTCGTTGCGATGTCATGGGTGTTACTTTACTTTGAAAGGAGGCATGTGAAAACCAGTCTGACAAGGGTAGAGAGCTGGTTGGTGAAGGCTTTTTGAGGTGCTGAGCCCTGACAATTCAAGGTTAGGGTCCAACAGCCAGGAAACCTGCCTTCCAGCCTTCACCTCTTCTCTTCAAGGCCAACCTGCCCCTGCTGCAACGAGAGCTGCTACACTGCTCACGCGCTGCCAAGCAAACGCCATCTCAATACCTGGCTCAGCACGAACACCTGCTGCTCAACACAAGTATCGCGTCACCTGCTGACTCCTCCGAGCTGCTCATGGAGGTGCATGGGAACGGCAAGAGGCCCAGTCCTGAGAGGTGAGTGGAGGATGACTCTGGTGCCCTTTTCTGACACTGCTTCTGAAAAGAGAGAGGATTTGGTTGTGGTGGCCTTAGATAGGTAGAGCCCCAGAGTTTCCAAAGTTATTTTGCCCTATCCCAACTGCAGGCAGCCAGCTAAGCCTAAGATCACTAGGTCTAGTTTCCAGACCTTAGCATTTTCCGTCGGCTTTCCATGACTGTGTATGGTCCTAGTGAGAAAATGTTCGAGAATACTGTATATTTCTTTCCAATAACCCACATCCACATTAACAAAGTTGGTCTCAAGTCATTCCCAAACAGAGTTAAACCCCGTAACAGATTTAGAGCCTAATGGTCAGAGGCTGACTTTTCATTAAATAAAACCTCATTGCCCTCGACTCGATGCTGACTCATAGTGATCCTATAGGACAGGGTAGAAATGCCCCTGTCAATTTCCGAGACCACAGCTTTTTACAGGAGTAAAAAGCCCAGTCTTTGACCCCTGGATCGGCTTGTGGTTTTGAACTGCTAACCTTTTAGATAGCAGACCAATGCATAACCACAATGCCACCAGGGCTCCTATAATCCTGCACAGACCTGTCAAATAAGCTATAACTATCATCTTCTTTTAGGAGCCCTAGTGTTGTGTCACCAGCTGCTCCGAGGGAGAAAGATGAGGCTTTCTATTCCTATATAGATTTGCAGCCTTAGAAACCTGAAGAGGCGGTTTATCAAAGTCAACTGGATAGCAGTGAGTTTTAGAGATTAATTATCACCTCACTGTCTCCTTTGCTGCTCAGATGTTACCTCTTGATGATTAATAGATTTGACTTCCCTTTCCAAAGTCAGCAGGTTATATGTCCCTCGAGTCATTTCCTTTAAGTGGCTGCCTCTTACACAAAACTTGCCCTACAGTCTTTCTGTTGGCAAAAATGTCTGGTCTATATGAGCTCAGATAAGTCCCTCTGGTTCTTCCACAGGAGAGAAGAGAATAGTTTTGAAAGAGATTCAATTCCTCCTGAGCCTCCTGCCAAGCGAGTGTGCACCATCAGCCCCGCTCCCCGACATAGTCCAGCTCTCACTGTGCCCCTCATGAATGCTGGGGGCCAGTTCCACCCCACTCCTCCGCCTCTACAGCACTACACCCTGGAAGATATCGCAACGTCCCACCACTATCGGGAACCCACCAAGATGCTAGAGCACCGGGAAGTGCGTGACAGACACCACAGTCTTGGTACGTGTCACAGAGCAGCAGAGTAGTGATTGACATTCAGGTAGAACTCTTGGATTTCAGCGATGCTTTGAAAATAGTGTCATTTCTTAAGACTGTTGCTGATCTCACTTCACTTGTGGCTATCATCACATATGTGAGGTTACTAACAAGAAGTGGGTCTCAGTGGTGAGCAAAAGATGCTTAGGAAATCCAGGCTAGATAATTTATAGGCACAGACAGTCACTGGATTAATGGTTCCTTTGGGTTATGGCAGGGGATGTTGGGGGAAATGGGTAGCTAATAACAGTAAGTATAAAAATGACGAGTGTTCTAAAATTTATTGTGGTGATGTTTGTACAACTCTTTTGATGGGATTCAACCATGGAGTTGTATGATACGTGAATTGTGTGCCAATAAAATTGTTGGGTTGGGGGGAAGTAGCAAAATGATGATAATAAAATTTTAGGAAATATACACAGAAATACCCCAACATTTTATACCTGTAACTTCTCAAACGATTCATCAAAAAAAAAAACAACAATAACAAAGCCAATAAGGTAAAGATTAATGCTGAAGGGTTCTGGGTGCAGATTACCAAGGAATTCTCTATCTAGGCTATATTTTTAAAATATTATTAGTAGGTAATTTAACACGTATCATGCCATAGCTCAGTCACGTCCAGCAGAATTGTACATTTGCTACCACAATCAGTTTCCGAACAGTTCTTATCTGCATGGACTCCTTGATATCGTTATATGGGCTGTGTCCTTCGTACCACCCCACCACCCCGATTATTCTTGCAACTTTCCTGTGAGACCGCATTTATTTCATGTTGAACATGATTTTTGCAGCCTGGAGGGCAGCTGTACATTGTAAGCTTGCATCCTAACTACCAGTGTGATCTTAGGCAAATTCCTTAGGTTCCCTGAACCCAGGCCTGCTGGTTTCTACATGGGTGATAACTGCATTACCAGTCCCGGCTAGGTGTGTTGTTGGGCTTAGGTTTCAAGTGCCTGGCCTGTGGAGCTTCAGTCACCATTCTGTTTAGGAAGATGAGAGGCAAAGCTTACACAGGTCCATTGTGGACACAGCGCTGCTTCATCTCAGTTATTGCACTCATGGCCTCAGTAACTGAGTCTATGTCAGGACAGGGAGCCAGAGGAGTACTGACTTCCAGACGCTCCCTGGCTTCCCTTTTACAGAGTATCCTGTGGAATGGAAAACCATAGCACCTCTGCCCTTTCCCTGTCTGCCTTCGACTCCTGGTATCCTTCAGAGGCTGGGACACAGCAGCCCTGCTGTCACGGAGTCGTGGACGTTGTGACAGCAGTGGTATTGACAGGTGCCACCATTTCTTGAGTCTTACATGCCACTTAGATTGTGTTGTACACGAATTGTCACATTTAATCCTCACAACAGTCCCATACAAGTCTTTCCCGGGTTTTATAGATGTGAGATGACGGGCAAAGGTCCAAAACCGCATAATTGACAAGCGGCAGAGACAAGATTCAGACCCTGGCTATCTGCTGCCCAGTGCTTTCCAGCAGCGCCTATATTTTGAGAACTCTTGTGTGGTTCAATCCCTCCTCTCCCCCCTCGCTGCCCGCTCCCCTATTCTCACATTTTATCTGGTTAAAAAAAAAAAAAGTGGTCTTTCTATTGGTTTATTCTGCTGCCACATCCATTTCCTGCCTTACGCTCTGAGAGAAGTGTTCACCAAAACATCAGTAGTTGCAGTTGTTTTCAGATTTCCCCCATACTTCCTACTTTTTCAAAAACTTACTTTTTTCATCCCAAGGATGTCTGGTCTATATGAGCTCAGATAAGTCCCTCTGGTTCTTCCACAGGAGAGAAGAGAATAGTTTTGAAAGAGATTCAATTTCTTTTTGGAGCAAATATGCATCCCTTTTTTCTCTTAAAATGAAATGCGTAGATATTGTGTTTTACTCCTACATAATTTTAGGATCATTGTTATCCATTAACTATAATATGTGGAACTATTTAAAAGTAAAATATATGAGGAAAATCTTTTCTATTAGAATCTGTTAATCCTTAGGACTGGCTACACTAGATGATGTAAGGAAATCATTTAGTTGCTCGCACTGGTACAGAATAATTAGGAATGCAGCACTTAACAAATGCAGGCAGATACAATGGAACATTCCCACTTCAAATACTATAAGCAATGTTAACACGTGATGTGGTTTTTTTCAAACTAGTAGAAACATTTTGGGTTTGTAGTCTATTAAAAAAGTCACTGCATTCCTGCAACTTTCAATACACATCATAGTCATGACATAGTTACATGTGTGTGTACAGCTTAATATATTCAGACTCATTCATATATCTATCATGGTAATAGTAAGCTGTTTCCTTAGGTGACAACAGTATAACGCTTGTTTCCCGTGGTTGTGTTTGCGCATCCTTATGTGTGCACCATATCCTAGCAACACTTAGTTGTTGTTGTTGTTGTTTGAGATGGTTAATCATTTTTATTTATTTATTTTTAACACTTAGTTCTATATGACATAATTTTTCTTTTTTTTCCCCACACGCATACATTTATTAAAATATAGACTAACGGCTCTGTGTTCAACTATCATTGTGGTTCTGTGCTGACTTCCACAAAATGTAACTTACTGTCACAGACTCTTCACAACTACAATCTGGTCAAAAAAGAAAAAGGCCCACAGAGATGGGGGTCAGGACAGACCTACTGCAGACACTTGTGATGAATACTTGCTGGAAAATGAAGTTTGACGTGATTTATAATTACGTCAACTTTCACGGAGGCCGAGAGTCAGAGGCAAAAGGGTACCATATCACCATAAGAAATCTTTCCACATTTCCCAATTAATTTTATAGTCAGTCCCTCGCCAGAAAAAAGCCAAACTTGTTCTTGTCAAGCAGAATTTTTTAGTCTGTTCAAGCAAAGAGTCTGGTATATCTTTCTGAGTCTATTCATTTGCAGATGGGAAGAGACCGGAACCAGATTCTTCACATCATACATATTCTCAGGCGATGCCACATCTTCATGGGCTATCCAATTTCTTTAAGATAAATGGAGTGACTCGCAGGAGGGCATATAGATAAGAAAGTCCTCGTGCATCTTCCCTTTCATTTCCTCAGGGTCCAGCTTCGGTGCAAGGCCCTGAATCCGAAGCATCGTGGCTGGGCTTCAGCAACTCCTAGCTAGGGATCTAGGTGCTTCAACTTAATTTTTCTTACTTTTTAAGAAATCATTTTCAAGGTAATCAAGCGGCCATCAAGCTCAGAAGCTACAAAGCCCACATGGAAGAAGCACACCAGCCTATGCATCCACGAGGTGTCGAAGGGATCAGGT